TGCCACCACATTTGACTTTGCTTCTTTTTGTTTTTGAGAAAGGTCTTGCTATGTAGCCCATGCTGACCTTGAAGTCACTATGTAGTCCAAGCTGGCCTGGAACTCTCTAGATCCTCCTGCCTTAGCCTCCCAAGTGATTATGGGTGTGTGCCACCACACCTGGCTCCATAGTGATTGTATTACTTCCCCTTGTTGGTGTCCCATGAGTCCCTTACCCCCTCTTCTTGCTTTTTCACTCATCTTTCTTTTTCTTCCTCTGACTGCATAATTTCAACTGATCTGTCTCCAAGTTTGGTGATTCTTTTTTCTGCCTGATTAAGTCCATTGAACTTTTCTAGTGATTTTTTGATTTAGTTATTATGCTTTTCAGTTCCAAAATTTCTGTTTGGTTCATTTCTGGTATTTTCTTCTTGTTGATAGGGGCTAAATATTAGATAATATTTCTTTTATTAAGTGTGATAAAACAATCTGGGTTAAGTAAAAAATTCTGTTATATAGACACACTAAGGTGTTTACAGTTGTGATATTTGCAAATCATGTATCTGACAAGGAACTTATATCTAGAATACACAAAGATCACTTACAATTTAATAGCAAGGAAACCACCTAATTTTAAATGGTCAAAGGATATGAATAGACATTTCTCTGAAGAAGATATAGAAGTGACCAATAAGCTCATGAGAAGATGCCCAACCTCAGTCCCTAGAGAATATAAATCAAAATCACAAGGAGATACCACTTTGCACCCTCTTGGCTGGCTATAATTTTTAAAAGGCAAGTAATAAGTGTGGACAAAATGTGGAGAAATTGGACCCGTCTATATTCCTGATGGGAATATAAAATGGTGCAGGCACTTTGGAAAGAAATTTGCCTTTCCTCTAAAAGTAGATTTACCATATGAGCCAGAAATTTCACTGCTAGACATGAACCCCAGAGAAATGAAAACACATGTCCCTGCAAAGACGTGCACACAGTTGTTTAGAGAAGCAGTATTCGTGATAGCCAAAAGGTGGAAGCCATTTAGATGTCCATGAAGTGATGAATGATAATAAAATGTGGTTTCCATCCTGTGGGGTATTGCCATGAAAAGGGGCACTTATCAGAGACCAGAGAGAGGGGAGAGGCACGGCTGCCAATGCCTTTTGGGATTTTTTCTAGTTATGAAAATACTTTCAATTTAGATCGTGGTGATGGTTCCATAGTTCTAAATATCTAAAAACCATTGACCATGCATGTTAAATGGGAGGGTTTTATGTAATGTATATCTCAAAAAAATCACTTTGAAAAGCTGTGCTTTGGGGTCAGAGCTTCCCAGGACAGCTTTCCCCCATTCTCACCAGCTGAGAAGCTTTCCTGTCTTCTTCTGGGGGTGTAGGGCAGGGTCGCTTCTGAGGCCTTTACCCAGAGTGTGATCCTGGGGTTGTACAACGGTGCGGAGGGTCTGTCTCAGACTCCCCATATCGGGGGTCCTGACCTTTGACTTCTGTTCTCTTCACTCTGATGTCATCCAAACCAAAGCTCAGATTCATGTGAATCGGGGGAAGCAGCCGCCTCTGTGTTCTGCTGTCCCACTCTGTCATAGCTCGTGACCACACACTCTTACCCCAGTGTCTCGATGCCTTTAAGAAGGTTTTTTTCTTTTTTTGGTACTGGGCATCAAACTTGGGTCCTTGTGCTTGCGAGGCAGGCGGCAGAACCACTGAGCTAAATCCCCAGCCCTAAGAAGGTATTTTTAATACAGATTTTACAGTGTACTGAGTTGGATCCAGCTGATGAACTGGTTCTAATAGGCTAGCCTGTCCTATTCTCAGAAAACAGTAGTGACCTTAAATCCTTAACAACTTTGAGTTCATGGCTTCCTCCTCCTTTAGTCCCCCACCCCGCCCCTCTAGAGCTCTCACACCTTCCCTTTCTTCTCCTTTCTTCATATCTCTTTCCAAACTTCACCTGTGAGTGAGGCTTTGTTTGAACACATTTAAGAAGCCACATTCCCCTCCTCATTACTGTCACCTGTATTGTGTGTTGCTGACACCAAATGTCATTGCTGTGAGATATTTTGCTTTTAATCATTGAGGAGTTCAGTGTCAGCCTTTCCCTGCCTGGATCCTGAGTTCCCTAAGAGCAGGGATTTATACATGCTGATCCCCACATTTAAAGCGTACCTGGTAAATGAACATGGCAAACCATCTTGGAACACATTGCTATATATTTTAGATCAAATAGCTGTTTCTGGAAAAAGCTGTCTCCTGCCAGAATGTGAGTGGGCTTCCAGCTTATCATGAGTGAAATTTATGTTCTAAAATCTGTGTGGTGTTGCTATTTTTACCCTGCAGAGAAACGTGTCACACTGACAATTGGCAATGCTCCCTGGGGAGGTTCCTGTCAGCACAGGGCCCCCTCAGTGTTCCCGGTTCACATTGCTGTTTCCCATGTACACACTGGGGGCCCCGAGGTGCCTCCTTCCCACCCAGCGCCATGGCAGGTAGAACAGCCCTGCAGTAGTGTCACCACTGAGGAGGGACAGTGGTGGCTGTGGCCCTGTTGGTCATGGATGGGTCATTGCCACTAAAGACAGTATCTAACAGGACAGCTGGGGCAGTGATGTAGACATTCTCTTGAGTGTGGTGGGTGGGCTGATGTGCAGTTCCGGTAGCTGGACACCTCCCTGGTCACCCCTATTAGTGGCTCTGTTAGTGGTTACATGCTCAGGCCCGAGTGTGGCCCAGGGACACACTGCACGGAAGCAAAGGTGTGAACTGTGTTGTGTTTCTGCTTCCACTGTCTTGGGAGCCCCTCTGCCATGACACCGAGTCTGCTGGAGGGGTGTGTGAGCCACAAGTGCAGCCCAGGCATCCCAGCCAGTGCTGTCCTAGAGCAGCCAGGTCCTATGAACCTGTTGGGGACCTGGATGGGTGAGTAAGCCTGGCCAGAGCCATCAAGTCCAGCCCAGATCAGTAGAGCCCTTGAAGCAGCCCATGGACTGGGGGAGGAGCACGAGCAAGGTGGGTTTGCTCTGGGCCACCAAGGATTAGCTGTCATGCTGCAATAAAGACTGCCTAAACCAGGTGTGTAGCACACACCTGTAATCCCAGTATTGTAGACAGTCAAGTTGGGTAGAAATATAGGCAGTCAGATAGGGCTGGGCCCTCGAGAGAGTCAGGACAAAGGTAAAACACATTACAACTGTGGCTGGAGACGCATCTGTTGGAGACCAGGCCTCAAGATAAAGATGAAATGACCAGGCCTGCGTACTTCCCCAAAGGACAAGGTAAGTTGTAACACTTGGCCTAATGAAGTCTAGATAGACATCATTCACCCCAGTGGGTGACCAAGACCTCCAGACCCATCATTTCCTAGAAGTCTCTGTTCTTTCCATGCTCAGTTATTATGTGACTTGGTCCCTAGTGGATCACTATTACCTAAGCGACCATACTTTGTAATCTTATCGGTGGATCATAGCTGTAATCCATGTTATACCCATGTGGTTTTTGCTCTATAAAAGTTCCCTGAAAACTGGGGTCCTCAGCTACCCATTCAGGACCCCTCCTGCCTCTCAGAAGCTATCCCCTCAATAAACATTTCCTACTCTTAACCTCCGTTGTCCCTGGAATTAATTCTTCAGTTCTAGAGAACACGACCTCAGCATATAAGACATCTACTGGGTTGGGAGTTGTAATATTTCCCTTATATCATTTGGAGGTCCTATTTCATCTCCTATATCATCCCCATATCGCCAGCACTCTAGGAGGCTGTGGCAAGTGCATCTCAAGTTCGAGCCCAGCCTGGGCAACTTAGCGATTTAGAGAGACCTTGTCTCAGAATAAAAAAAAAAATAGTCTGGGAATGTAGCTTAGTGGGAGGGCCCTGAGGGAGGTGTAATGGCTGGTAATGGGGAAAGGGAATGGTGAAAGACTAGTATAAGCACCGCCCCCCCAAAAACCCATCCATGGTACAAGCAGAAAACAATCTTTACAACCTGCTCTGCCAAGTATTTCTGCCTCTCAGTTTAAAAAAAATGCAAGCTTGAGGTATAGGGTGAGGACTAGGGAGATTTCCTGTTCTCATTTGTCTTCAACTAATAGGAAGCTTTCTCTGATCAGTCATTAGTGTCCGTCTCAGGGAAATAATCAAAATGTGAAGCTTTATCCACACGTAGTACAAGAAGAGCTCTTCCTGCTGAGAGGTGCCGTGGGCCTTGAGGCCTGCAGGCGGTGATGCTGTGGCAGCGTGCTCTCGCACCTGCTTGGCCTCCTGCGTTGGTGACCCAGGGGCCAGGAGGCACAAAGAAGGGCTGGGTTTTGGCTCAGTGGTAGAGTGATTGGCTAGCACGTGTGCAACCCTGGGATCCGTCCCTAGATTTGCAGCACAACCTGATGCTTTCGGTTGCCCCAGAATCCAACCCCCCAGGATAAGTGCTGCTGGTCAACACCAGAGGCCTTAGGGTAGCCACTCCAGAGCCCTGGGAAAAGACTGGGGCCTAAAGGGCAATCTCTCTTCCACTGCCATCACGCCTCACCTTTCTGCAGCCAGGAAGCAGCCTGTTTTGGCTTCACCTTCTCATTGTGTCCCTTCTCCTGTCACTCTCCTCTCCACCCCGCAGAGGACTCCCACAGAGTAGGTATCTTGTCTTATAGCCAAGGCAATTTAGAAAGGAACTACAACAATAAAAATCGCAGCAGTTCAGGCTGGTGATGTAGCTCAGTGGTAGAGTGTGGGGCCCTGGATTCTATCCCCAGAGTTTGAAAAATGAAAAAAAAATTGCAACAACTTCAGACTCCCAGCCCCCCTGGCCCCCCACTCACCACCTTCACCCTGCATCCTGACTTCCAGTCCTGCAGGTAAACAGTTGAAATAAAAATTTTTCACCAGCGGTCCCTCAGACAAAGGTCTACTATCTAGAATCTATAAAGAACTTTAAAAAATCAAACCTCTCAAATTTAAAGATCCAATCCAAAAATGGGCATCTGAAATGAACAGACATTTATTTCTCAGACAAAGAAGTAGAAATAGCAAATAAACATGTGAAAAAATGTTCAACATCACTGGTCATTCGAGAGATGCAGATGAAAACAACACTGAAATTACTTTAATAAACCTGGGCATTCAAGGACAGCAGCCCCAGGATGACCTCTGCCAGCACTGAGCTAATCAGTTTACCCCCAAATATGCAAACAAAAACACACTGTTCCAGACTTATAAATCCTGTTGTTGCTTTTGTTTTGACTCAGGCCACAGACTGTCTGCTTCCTTGTGAGCAGACCCATGACGTTCAGTCAGTCACTGGTCACCAGGGAAAGGACCATGACCAGGGACCAGTACTGCTCCTGCTAGAGAGAGTGGGGAATGGGAGAACCCAGTAAATGGAGTCATACAGGGCTCTGAAATACAATTACTCTTTTTAACCATAAAGAGGAATAATTCTTAGTGAATCTTCAGACATACAATTCTTATGGTTCTTTAAAATTTCTAAGCATTTAGGAAAATGAAATTGATTTTGTAGTTAAATCTAATTCATTTCATATAAGAATGTGAGTTCATTTCAAATATACTATGAGATCAATAATATATTCTCTGTTCTTTTCTTTTGTACCAGAAATCATGTTAAGCATGAATTTTAAAATTCCTTTTAAATATCATAATCAGTTACATAAAAATGGATCTGGTATAACAATGACTTGTTCTTGATTCAACATTTTTAGGATTTTGGTTCAAAAAGAGGAATAAAAGGATATTTAAAGCAGGGCATGAGTGTTCATTGTACACATTTTTTGCATTCAAAATTCTTCCCCTCTTTAAGTAAACCAGGTGGTGAACCGAGGTGATTAATGTACCAGTGAATGAGAACAACAGGGGCATTAGATTGAGCTTTTCTGGTCCTCATTGCCTGAGGGGATCTTTCTACAAATTTTTTTTACACTGGGTCATTAACAAGGGGAAGAAAAATATTACCATTGGCATTTTACAGTTTGTACCAGTTTGTATTCTTCAAAGTTCATCTTTCTCCGGAGACTTAACCATTCTTATTCTCAACAAGATTTCTCAAATGTGTTCTTGGTTAAATCCCAAAATAGAAACACATGTAAAAGTCCAAAAGGAAAGCAATAGAGACAAAAATTATTCTTCAGATCAGCTCATAGTTTGTTCAAGAGCAACTCTTTGAAATACATATGAACATAAAATGCTACCTCTAGTATATATATAGACCTTTTCCATAGCAATATAAAAGCTTTAGGATTTAATATATTTTTAAGAAGGCAACTCTAGCTGCTTCCTCATGCCTTGTTCATTTAAACCACATTTCATATTAGCACTGGTTTCTCAGACCTTTAGGATACATCGGATATGCGAATCACAAGTCTTTGTCCATCTTTCAGGGTTACGATGGCTTCTTCTTCCATGGGGACGCTTAGTCTCATGGCACTTTTGGTGACCTTGTCCTCCAACAATACTTGGACGAGCTAAGAGGGAGAAATATTTAAAAGAAAAAGATGAGAGAGGGCTAGGGATTTAGCTCAGTGGTTCTGTCACCTGCCTCTCAAGTGCAAGGTCCCGAAAAATAAAAAAGATGAGAGAAATCTCCAGGAAGTGCCATTTGAACTCATGTACTATGCCCTTGTCCCTGCCTGGGGACATAATACAATGTGTGTGCCTGTGTCCCTGCTAGGGTAGCACCTCCTTTCCTAGGGCAATACTCTATCTAGGTCTGGTGAGGATACCATGGCAGTACCAGCAAACTGAGAAGGGGCAAGAGAGGGAGGAAGAGAGAGGGTGGGCTCCTCCCAAGAAAAGGAACTGGAGCGGGCTGCTTGCTGACAGATGTGGAGAGCTCAGAGCAGCTGTGCACATCTGGGGAGTGCTATAGGGAGATGTCCATGGGTCTCGTGTGGCAGAGGCACCGATCACTGTGGCTGCCTCTCCACAAGGACACCAAGCCCTGCATCCTCCTCAGTCCCTGGAGCTGACATGGGGCTCTCAGGCTGCCACAGAGGCTCTCCCTCCAACCTCCATCAGAGGACACTAGGCATGAGAGGAAACTGATGCCTGCTGAAGGGATGCTCGCTTAGGCCGTAAAAGATTCAAGAAATTCACAGCTTCTGATTTTGCTTCCTGCTGCCTCTCACTTAACCTGCCTGAGGAACAGGGACAATCTGAGATCCTTCCCTAGCTCTGGGAGAACTGAGAAGACTTGCAAATCCTTGCACACAAGTACTTTAAAACCAACAGAAATGCATTATCTTGGTCTGATTTCATCAATAAATCCTCCACAAGCTGATGTATTTTGACAAAGATTTGCAAAACATAACACTGGCATCAAGATTCACCAAGGTACGTTTTTCTTTCTCCAGATTCAACAATAACATCACCATTCAATGAAAAGATATCTTTCTTCTTTTTCAGAAAATTGCTTTCACTTTTCCCCCAGGACTGGAGAGTTGTTTTCTCTGTCACTCTCTTTCTCTGTTTCCCTCTCCCTCTTAATATTTTGCTTTGATTTAATCCTGAGTACCTGACCTAATGTGAAAGCCATGTGGTTTGCTCTTTTAAAAGAATATTCCATACTTAACATCATTAATTTAGTCTGCATTATTCTTAAGCTCGCCTTGGCATCTTCCCATTTTGAATGTTGCTGGAGTGACAGATGGATGTGGCTGTAGAATGCTGACTTTGGTTGTTATCTAGGTGTGGGGCAGTGCTAATTGCTCAAAGGAGGAGCTGTCACAGATGTGCAGTGCATGGGGGCTTTAACTCAGCAGATGAGTGCAGATGGGACAGCCAGGGTGTGCTTTTTATTAATGATGAGTGCAAATGCCAAATAAGGAAGGCAATGAAAATGAGAGGAGCAGAACTTTTGGGTGGTAGCTTAAGTTGTTATAGCTAATTCAGCAGGCATGAAGGAACAGAGTGGGTTTAATTAATCTCTGATGCATATTACCTTGGATTATCTGTCATTCGTCTGCTTGTATTGTTTTATTATGTAGTTCAATTAAATATTTAATATTTTCTCTATTGTTCCCACCAATTAAATATAGGTCAAACCTCACTGTAATGAGCTTCAGAGGAGCTGGGAGGTGCATGGAGAGTAGTGAAGGAAGGCATCAGATGGGGAGAGTATTGGAGCAATAGTAACTATGATGAGTGGCTGTTGGATACTTACTATGTTCTAAGGAATTTTCTAAACATATTATAATGATTAGCTTATTTAAACTCACAATGGTCCTATGGAATTCCATATTATCCCTTTGAATTAAGCAACTTCCCATGGTTCTCAGCTAATACATGGAAGAGGTAGAATTTGACCCTAGGAATTATGTGTGAGAATTGCCCACTTATTCAACTTGAAGCCACTGATTTTGGAATTAAGCACATGGCAAAGTACTCTCTAGGAAGAGAGGATGCCAGGAAGGACAGCCATGCAAGGAGATCTGGGTGGTGGTGGGGGGCTGTGGATTCATGCTCTACCATATTAGTGAGGTGACCTTGGGAAAATTATTCAACTCCTCCATGAACCTCAGTTATTCCATCTGTGAAATGGGGTTGAGGATCACCCCTGCCCCACAGGGACGCAATGCTGCACAGGAAGACCTGGCCCAAGGGAACCTCTGAGTGGGCCCTCCATGCCCTCCATGCCTGACTGAGTAAAAGTCAACTCTGGGTCACCTTGCTGACTAAGGAGCAAGTAAAACTTGACCAAGACTCTGCTTGGTCAAGCACAGCAGGCTCCTCCACCTTCCCCTAGTCCCTCAGTGCCTTTCTTTAAAATCCAGTCTTAGCAATGAGCCCTGCTAAGCCAGTTTAGCAAGCGCCTCCCACCCTTGATATCTGATCCCAGTGATATCTGAGCAGGTTCCTCGTCCTCCGTCCTCCACATCCTCCACAGCCCGGGGTGACACTGGTCATCCTGCCTTGTCTTCCATGAGAACCCATGGTCAGCACAGCCAGACGCTTCCGACCCCTGATGTTTCCCCTCAGTGGTTTCCTACCTATTGGCCCCAGCTGGGTCCTTGGCTATCCATTCCCTTGCCCTGCTGTGCTTGGACTTGGGCCTAGTCTCTTCTATTCAAGAGTCAGTCACTGTGGTTCCTAACCTACCACACTGGTCCTGAATAAACTCCTCCTTCTGTGCTTTACAAGAGTCGCTGATTTATTTTTCTTTGAGAGATTATTATCCTATGCTTATCCTCTTGGCCCAGTGTGAACAGAGAAAACTTGCTACTGGGAGCTGACTGCTGTGGCCCAGCACTAATGCTGGCCCTGTTTAGCTCAAGAGAATGCTCCCGAGTTAACTCGGCTGTGTCACTGCCGGGCAGCACATGAGGGGCTCTGCTGCCAGGCCTGGGCACATCCTGCAGGGTGCAGGGAGCAGGGAGAGCTGTTCTCTCGGCACAGCACGGCCGACACTCCCCTCTCCAGACGGAACCGAGCCTCCTTCCATCGCCCTGAAACACCTGCTCCTGCAGTGGCGCCTAAATTGTCCCCAGCCCAGGAGGCCCAGCCCCCACCTGGACATCAAATTTCCGATTTGGCGCCAGGACTTCACTGTTTCATGACAACATCTGCTTTGCTCACTCACAGAGGAGGAGGACTGCATTTACAGACACACACTCTAAAGGGCCTCTCCTCAGGGGTCATCCTGGGCAGAGCCACTCCCTTTGCCCTTCCACATGGTTGCCCCCCCCCCATTCCTTTACAGCCTCTCTCTTTTTCCTGGTATTCTACACTCCCTAGAGAAGCCCCACCTAAAGGATTAGGGTGTTAACTATTAAATAATCTTTCTTTAGATTTATACAACCCAGACTATCTGGTGACCTTTTAGTTCAGCCCATCAGCTAACACAAAGCATGTGAATTTCTGTGGGATTTAACTTGCATAAAAGTAATGGATCCAGGCTGGGGATTTAGCTCAGTGGCACTGCGCCTGCCTCGTAAGCACAAGGTCCTCAGTTCGATTCCCGCTACTGCAAAAAAAAAAAAGGAATGCATCCATCCCAGCTGAGTAGAGGAGCTAGCCCCAATCCAGTGCCATATTCTGAAAAGAAAAAAGGAGACCCATGCCCTAGGTGAGAAAGGCCTCACTCAGGGTACAGCCTTTGTACCTTTCTCCCCTTTTCCTGCCCTGTAAAAGACCTTCATACCACTCGGCTCAGAATGGAGCCTCCAAGATGCTGGCCTTGAATAAATCTGATTTATTCCCACCAACTCTCACCTCCTAAATACTGGCTTTTGAATGGCGAGCAGCCAGACTTATTCCAGTAACAATATCTGGGTCAAGTGGACAGAGGGTGCTGAATACAGCTGGATAAGTGAATTTACTGTCCCCAGGTAAACAAGCAAAGATCAAATGCATTCAGACAGAAGGGAATGCAAGCCTGACAGAGGCATTTCCTCAGCTCCTGTGCACAGTGTCTGTCTCACATGCTTTCTCATCTGAGCAGTGCTCAGTAACAGTTTGTATAGGATCTCCTGGGTCTGGGAAGCCCAGAAGGAAGGTTTGTTCAGCAAGGAAAGGACCCTGGAAGGATCTGAGCAGTGCTCAGTAACAGTTTGTATAGGATCTCCTGGCTCTGGGAAGACCAGAAGGAGGGTTTGTCAGCAAGGAAAGGACCCTGGAAGGATCTGATTACTTTGAAGACTGTAGGGTGTGAACAATTTTACACTGTGACTTATTGTCCTGGCCCTGGCTGCTGCTGATCCACATGAAGGGTGAAACACTTGCTTCTAATGGTCTCTAAGTAAGTGCAACTCATCTATTCAAGAGGGAACTTGTAGCCACAAAAGGAAGACTGCAAATAGTGGCTGAACACCAAATACATATAGATGTTTAAGAAATTAATACTAAGACAGTTTCTGGCATCTTTGTTGTTCTTCTTGTTGTTGTTTGAGACGAGGTCTCACTATGTAGTTCAGGCTGACCTTGAACTCATAGTGGTCCTCCTGCCTCAGCCTCCTAAGTGCTGGGATTACAGGTCTGCACCACCATGGCATTTTTTGCTTCCTGCATCAGACTGGCTCTTTTTGCTGACATTTGAGGATTTATCTTCGATCTCTCCAACCTGTTTTCTGCTCTTCTTGGGGCCTGGACTACTCTTCTGATCTGTTGTGCAATAAGTGGGCTTGCGAGCAGGTGGACCAGGGCTCTGACCTCTGTTTCCCTGTCTCCTGTGTTTCCTTGCAAACCCCTTTGCTTCTCTGAGCCCCAGTTTCCTCATCCACCCTTGGCAATGATAAGAACAGATATTCTATATGATTGTACAACTTCAAATGGATATGAAGGGTACAATGTGGGTGTTAGATAAATAGCAATTCTTTTTGTTTTTTTTAGCAATTCTTATTTTTATATCTTTTAAGATGTACCCCAATTGAATCATTTCAAAATGCTTTCTATTCAATGCTGCCTTTCCTGGGATGCTAGCAGCATCTTTAGTGAGTAACTCAGGTTAGCAGTGGTGCTCATGGCTCGGTGAGTCCAGCTGTGGCAGGAGAACCCTGAGAAGGAGAACCCTGCTATCCCTTGACTCTAGATTCTTAACCATGTCACTTGTCACTGCACTGCACACCTGAGCTGTTCCAAGAAGGGCAAGCAAACTATTGTAACCACTCCTGGCAAAATGAGTGCAAGCAAAGAGGGGTTTAGAGTCTGTTATCTGTGTTGGACTCTGTGATCTTTATGAGTTTCTTAACTACCATATAGTTTTTATTTCCCTGGAAATGACTCTGTGGTGTGTGTGTGTGTGTGTGTGTGTGTGTGTGTGTGTGTGTGTTCTGATATCTCTACCTTATTGCTTGTGGCAGTGTCCACCAGCAAGCCCAGGACCCAGAGGACCATGCTGCTCACACCCATGGGACTGAGGTCCTGACTCTTGTGTCCCAGTGTCACCCTTGGTGGCCCAGCACCTGGGCTTGCATACTCCTGAGGTAGTGGAGAATCTAGAGGGTGGAAAAGGGCCTGGATCGGCTGGACGAGAGACCGGTCATCTGGGAGCATGTCCTTGGGGTTCCCCACATCCTCCTCTTCCTCTTCTTCCTCCAGGCATGACTGAAATATGTGAGTCACGTAGTCCAAAAGCAGCAAATGGAACAGATGCCAGAAGCCTACATTTAAATAGCAAGCAGATTCCTGAATACTCTTGATAGATGGCAGACAGAGAGGCAATAAAGACATCACTGCGAAACTGACAGCTTTTCTGAGGCTGAGCGTGGTTCCTACTGCTGACTTGGGTGTGGCGGGAGGTGGTTAGGTGATGGGGCCATCGCTCTTGCAGTGACCCACACTCAGCAGGCACTCTAGCAGAGGATTTAAAGCCCATCTAGTGTGAGAAGGGGGAAACTGGGCTCCGTTCCTAGAGTTGGATGTGCTCCTTGTTCTTCCATAAAGAAGATGATCCTTACTGTTTGCCTGAGAAACAGAGCAGGAGCTCTGGCCTATTCCAATTACTCAAAGGTAATGTTTAAATGAATGTGCAACTGTGGCTCTTATACAATTGTATTTAACCCCTTAATGAATGAGGGCATTCGGAAGAGGTTGCAGTTGATTTGAAGGAGAATTCCTTTCTCAAAACATCACAAAGTGTGCAATTCAAAAGCAAGGGTGGGCTTCCTACGTGTCACCTATGATGGACCAAGAAGGTGTTAAGTGGACTATCACCTTGTCATTAATAAAAAGATGACTGTCATCCTGTATGGTTTTCTGTATTTATGTTACTTGTAGCATAGAAAGATTAATAGGAGATGAATGGATTATAAAAGTCCATCCTTTCCTTCCTCTTCTTTTCCCTCCCTCTTTTCTTTCTTCTTTCCTTCTTTTCTCTCTCCTTTTTACCTTCTTTCCTTTCTTTCTTTCTTTCTTTCTTTCTTTCTTTCTTTCTTTCTTTCTTTCTTTCTTTCCTGAGAATCAAGTCCAGGTCCTTGAACACAATGAGCAAACGGTCTACCACTAAGGTACATTCTTAGTCTTTTAATAACATGTGAGATGTGATAGGAATATATGGTGAATGTTTACATTTTTAAAAATTAAAGTAAAAGACACATTACCATGAATTTCTCTCAAAATTCTCCCCCTTACTTTGACTACACTAATCCCATCATTCTTGCCACTTTCTGATGCAGTTCTGGAAGTCCTCATTCATGAGTGTCTTTAGCTGTGCTGTCATGGCTGCCTGGGCGTCCTGAATAATTCAAAACATTTATCTTTCATGCTCATTTTCACTTTGGGGAAGAGCCAGCAGTCACACCATGCCAGATCTGGTGAATGAGGTGGATGAGGACACACTGTCATGTGTTTCTGGGTGGCACTTAGTGCAGCATTCACTCTATTTTGGATCACACCTCCTAAAGACACTCATATTACAAGACAGAATAGAAAAAGATTTTATATTCTCTGACTTACCAAAACTCTCCCTGTGGCAGAGGGTCATGGCTTTGCTCACAGCAGTGAGAAGGAAATTCCACTTCAGCTGGAAGCTGGCAGCCAGTTTAATAAACTGCTCTTTGCTTTTGCTGGGCTATTACATTTTTTGTATGAAAAATAAATGCTGGTTTTAATGATAAAATCTGCGAGAATAGCATGTTCTCAAACACACACATTTGTCATGTACAGGCATTCTTAAAAGACATCCCAAAGGAAAAAAAAAAAGATAAAATGACGAGCGTAAGAACTGAGCCATCAGACTAACAGGGGGACCATTCCTAGTCTCGTCCCCTCTCCTGTGGAGATGGGTCCTTTCAAGTAAGTGGAGGGAAGATGGGAGGTAGAAAATTGCCCTACCCCCCCCCCCATTCTCAAACAATTTTTTAAAAAAAGAGGTCAGTTTTGTGAGGCTACTGATTTGGATTGAGCTCCTGCTCTGGGCCCCAATAGACCAAAACAAAATGCAGTCACTCATGCTAAAGTTCTGGGTCACCAGATGGAAGCTGAAGTGTTTATCTGACCTTCTGAGAATTCATCAGAGAGAGACACTAGCCAAATCTGCTAACAGACTAGTTTTCCCTAGCAGGATAAGTAAGTCACCTCTGCTTTCAGATTGAAATGATCAGTTCCTATCTAGTTCTGTATTTCTGCTTTCTTCTGTTCTTTCCTATCTATCAACACCAGCCTCGTTGCAGAGTGGAGCCCTCTGGACCTTCTGATTCTGAGGGTAGCCCCATTCATGGGCTGTTTTTTGTCCAGATAAACTCCATTAAATTCATTTTGTCTAGCCGGGGATTTAGCTTAGTGGTTCTGGCACCTGCCTTACAAGCTCAAGGTCCTGAGTTTGATCCTCAGTACCAAAAAAAAAAAATTCACTTTGTCTAAGAGTTTTCTATTATTAAGCTCCACAAAGAAAGGCAGTGGAGCAGTCATGCTGAAATCCATTGAAAGTCACCACAGAGAGGTGAGATGGAGTGACTAGGTGAGACTCCTTGTGGAAATGACAGGGGGAGGAGTCGATTAGACTGCGGATTAAGTGAGCAAGTAAAATAAGGTGGGATGCATGGGCAAAGTGGGTGAGGCAGTGCGGGCAAAGATGGGCATAAAGGCCCTGAGCATCACTGCAGCTTCATTGTAATGCATTCCCATGTAAGATCTCCACCCAGGGAAGGGATAGAGCACATTTCTATGCACATTTGGGCCATGTGCAAACTCATGTCCATGCGATAACTAAAATCCTCTGTCCTTTTTGAAAAAAACCCAGTGAATGATTGATGACACTCCTATGAGACACCATAAAAGTAGAGTGTGTCTTTCGGTACTGGCTGCTCTGTCTGTGGAGCAGCCAGCTTCTCTTTCCCTGGGGCTGGGCTGTCCATGTTTCCTCCTATAGTAAACCTTCATTTTATTTCCTCTTTAGAACTAGTTCATGTCTGATTTCCATCCTACACATGGCTGTTGGTGGAAGGTCAGTGGTTATTTTAGACTAACTCTTTGGCGTGCTACATCTGATCATAAAGAAGCACAGTATCCCATAAGGATGCAAATAAAGCCGCTTCTCTGGGAAGACAAAGCACTGGCCACTGTGCCCTGTAAGTGATCTCAGGAATGGATAGTCCCTGCCTGTGTCCACTAGAGTGAGGTCCTCTAGCAACCTGTGGGACACTAACCTAGGTATCAACCAGTAAGATGCTGCCACAGCAGACTAAGAAATCCTCTCCCTCGTCTCTAGGTACAGAGAAAGCCTTGGCCAAACTTGAAGTCAACTACAAACCCTGGGGTCCTGTGACTTTCAAATGCATGTGTCCCATGAGTGCTGGAGCCTCTGCTATTTCTCCATTTATGGCCTGTGGACCCCCCCCACTGGCTGGCACCCTAAGGTCTCCGAAGTAGAGATGGAGAGACTGGTCAGAAAGGAGGGAACACCCTTTTCTTCACTTCTCCCTCATGGAGAGCCCTGGCACCCCACAGGGCTCTCCAGAGCTCTGGGTAGACGTGAACACCCTCCATGTTTCTCACCAGGAACCAGGGCTCTGGGGAGACCTCCCTCCCATTGGTGAAGGGTAAGGGTGAGGGTTAACTTTCCAGACAATGAAACTACAAAAACTCCCACAAGGATCCTTTCAAAAGGTTACCAGGAAAGAAGCCCGGGGCAATTCCACCTCTGGGCAGAAATGGGTGATTCAGACAACCATGGGGCCCAACTGGCCATGACCTGCTACCATGAGGCACTTCCTGTTCCTCCTTTTAGAAAGGATTGCATGGGCCAAGAACAGTGAGATATGCGTGACAAAGCTGGCCGTCCTCTCCCTCGATAGCAGATGGCCAGATGCTAGCAATTGAAGCCATTAGTCATCTCCTGCAAGCCCAAGGCCTCCTGTGGAACAGTCTGAGTGTTTTATGGACAGGAATCTGGCTTGCTTTCTTCTTCTTTTTTAGTTTTTTTTTTTTAAATCAACTAAGCTACTTTACAAAAACAGGTCCTTCAAAGACACACACTTATAAAAACATCATTTTCCTAACATGCCTCATTGGTGTGGGCTGCAGATTTGGGGTGGAGACCTGGGGACACCGTGTCACATGGTTTACAATGCAGCACGGCCTGTCAGGCTGCTTGCAGGCAGGATTGGCACAGTGGTCTCTGGGAGCTCATCCTGGCTAAAGTGAGGGGCTGAGCGAGCATCCAAAACTGGGGGCAAACCATGATAGTTCCTACCGGTGACACGGAAGTTCTTTAGTTATTGAGTGAATAAATGTCTCATCAGTCATGCAATTTCAGACAAGTCACTGCAGCTTGAGCTCAGCCTGAGACCAATAAGGAGGAACAAACACCACACACAATCTGGGGTGATTGTTTTTCAATAATTAAGGAACAGAACCAGACACCCTCTGAGGGGTGGACACAGCTTTCAGCTCCTTCCTGGGGTTTTTGGGTTCTGTAGTCTTCATAGATTTGGCTAATATTTTTGCTCTTTCTCTTTGACCAGGAGGTCAGGGATATGAATAAGGCCAAGCTGGGAGGGGCAGGGAAGTGGCAGCAATGTGGCCAGAGACTAAAGAATACCCAAAGCTGTGTGCTGGTCCCCGGGGCCCTGTTCTTGGTTCTGTGCTCTGGAATTTCCTCCTCCTCCTCCTCTGTATAAAGCTCCATCCCCCATGCTCACTGCTGTCCACAAGGTCTCTCCAGAGCACAGGTGACCCTCTCTCTGCTCATTTCAACACCAGGTGCCCTCCTCAGCCCAGGCCATCCCCATCCTTCTGCACAGCTTCAGAAAGTACTGCTGTAGAGGTGGGATGTGCTGCCTTTTAAGTTCTTCACCCTGACTCCCCCACCCACAGGGCCTGTTCCCAGCTCTTCAAGGTTGACTCTGTGGATGGGGACCCTGTGGAAGTGACCCCTGAGAGGCAGATGGCCACAAAGCCAGAGCCACGCTCTGCTGAGACCAAGTCATCTTTGGGGGTTCTTTTGGGTTTGTTTTTGTAGTGCTGGGGACAGAACCCAGGACCTTGCACAGCTAGGCAAGTGCTCACCACTGAGCCATGCCCAGGGCGCATCTCTGAGGTTTTGAGATCAAGTGACACTTTACTGGAATGTGTCTGCCGAGACAAACCTGCTCCTCCTCAGAGGCCCATGCCATGCACACACACTCACACACCCACACACCCACACCCACACTCATGCTTACCCAAACACACAATCATGCACACACACTCACCCCTACCTGCACTCACCCCCCACCTGCACACTCACCTGCACACACAAGCTCACCCATGCACATGCCTAGACATGCCTGTGTCACAGGCCCTCACCCCTGATTCTCGGCATTGCAAAAGAAGTGGGACACCAATTCCCGCTCCTAACACCCAGGCCAGCCTGGACACTGACTGCCAGAGAGCTGCTTGCTCATAGCCTTGGGGCTTGGGATAGTTCAAAGGGATTCCTGGGCTTCACACACAAAGGATAGGTGCTACAGCTGGGCATGGGACTGTGCAGTCATCTGGTTCAGAGTCCCCTGGGCAGGGAATGGGCACTGTAGACTGTAATTTAGCCAGAATGATCAACACCCAGTTTTCCCCATAAAACATCACAGCTTTGTACCTGGCAGACAAATACTTGGAGATGTGAAGACAGACAATTCAGGAATACATCAATAGATCTGTTGATGTTCCCAGCAAAGAAATTAAACAGCTTAAACCTACAAAAGCAAACAAACAAACAAAAATGAATAAGACTGCTGGCCTCCTTCCTGTGTGGGTGTTGGTGTCCTATGTAACCAAGGAAATAACATCAATTCAAAGGGATTCCCAAAGGCCCTAACTCATCTGGAGCACAAAGGATTTGTCACCTCAGCATCCATTGAGTTCAGCCACACTGTCCCACCCTGCCACCTGCTGCGACAGAGAACCAGGCCTGGAAACAACCACCCAGCCTGGTAACCACACAGCTGGCTTCAGATGAGCTCACTGCAAGGCAGACATGACCTCACTTGTCCTTGACATTTTCATAAAAGGGCTTGATTATTAATGCCATTTCAGGGCTGGGACATCAAAGCCAGAGAGTACCCTACTCAGGGTAATGCACTCCATCAGGGAGCAAGTGTATGACACCAGGTCTGGGTCCTCTACCTGCACAGGTAGCAGGGAGAAAGAAACAGCTCTGATCTACCCACCTTTCTGAGCTCCACTGCACATGTAGCAGAGTTTAGAGACCTGAGGAGGCTGTGGAAACCCTAGCTGAGGCTGGGTTGAGGGTAACCTGACCTCAGAGTCTGAGCCTGCTGGGTACCTACAGGGGCTGTCAGGGTGCTGCGCTCCAGCCAAACTCTGCAGTCTCTTGAAGATGGTCAGAGAGGCCAACAGGAGCTTGGGAGCCCTTAGTAGCCAGCAGGCAGTGTGATAGGCACGGGGGTGGGGGGCTCATGCTGGGGAAAGAACAGCCATCCGAGGCTTCTTGGGGACGGATGCCTGGGCAAGGCACCTTTGGGAATCTCACTAATCAGGATGCTGGGGGGCCTCTGAAGCTTGTGAGGTTCTGTGCTGACCTTCATGGCGCTGGGCTGGAGGAAGGGGAATGGTCAAGGGGGAGTTCTGGACTAGGGAGAGCTGGGGGGACAGGAACTAGGGACAGGATGGTGGCAGGCCATTTACTAACAAGTATAGATGTAGTTCAGTATTTTAATAAATAGTGCAACCTTACCAAGGTCAGCCCTATATCAAAGTAAAGGAGAGGATGGGATAATTTATGGGTGCTGGACCCACATAGTCATCTGGCTAAGGAATACTGAAGGGCTGCTGTGTGCCAGCACCATGCTGGGTGCCCAAGGAGAACAGACACAGGCGACTCCCTGAAGGAGCTCACGGGGACCAGGCAAGCAGTGTTGTATTCTGGTGAGAGAACCAGGAAGGGGCTGTGCCTGTGGAGGGAGAGCCTACTAGATCTCACCAGGGCATCAAACCAGGAGCCTGGAACCCGCAGCCCCCTCCCGGTGCCCATCGTCTGTCGTTGGGGGAGGGGCGTGTCACTCTTTCCCTAGGTCTCAGAAGGTTCTTTTTTCTGCAGATGCTGCTCCTCAAGTGACATCACGTGTCAGCCCACAGGCCAAGCTCTTTACAGGAGGAAGTTTTTTTTCTTCCAAAATAATTACACTTGTCAGATAGCAAATGGCAAGAATATGCAAGAGCTTCATTATCACCTGTCTGCAAAGCAGTAGAAGATGATAACACGCACCACCGCTAAACTGCATGCTGTGAAAAAGAACACTTGATGCTGCTGCAGTGGGAGCACTGGAACCTCGCAAGGCACAGAGCCAGGTCGATCGAGTTCCCACTCGATGGAAGAAACACTTGAATCTGTGTGTTTACAAGGGGGATGTAGAAAACAAGGGCTTTTCCTAAGGGAGACACCCTGGAAAGAAATACTGCCCAGCGAGCGGCAGCACTGAACACTCAATGTCAGACTCCCTTCGTTCATTTACTCAGCAAACACGGAGCCGCAAGATGTTCTCTTGATACTTGGGAAGGTCCTGGAAGCCAGGCTGCATGGCCTCAGGGTCACAGGGTGCTCCCTGGGACACCACTGCCCTGGCAGGAAGACCTGTGTGAGCTTGCACATTAGCCCAGTCCAGAAGAAATGCAGTTTGTCCCATATTGAGAAAGTGGCTGTGATGGCCAAGCTACCACCGAGTAGACACACCCAACACCCCCACCAGAAAAAGTGCAGGAGGAGATTACATTTCATCTCTGGGTGGCTCTCGGGCTCCTCTGCGTGGCTCGGGTCACTTGCCAGGCTCTTCAGAGGGATGTTCAAGGCACACTGGCCGATGATGGCTTGGAGATCTGACTTCAGGAGCCTGACCTTCCTGATGTTTCTCAGCACCGTCCTTGTGGTCTAAAGACAATGGGGGATTGTCAAGACAGTTCAAACCATGGCGTGTGACTGCTCCCCAATCTGCCCCTCCACATTACCAAGATTCTGTCATTGTCATGGAGAAAAAAGAAGCACGGATTTGAATAGGATCCTCTATCATGGGGTCCAACCTATACCGGAATGCTCACCTCTCACCTGTTCCAGACCAGCCTTGCTGCTCCTGGGGGTGTGATCCAGGCTCAGGGGCACCGTGGCTTTTCCCTCCCTTATTCTCTGCCTACCTCTCACCAAGCCCAGGCTTTTTAGAGGGGACAGTAGCAGGTGACTGGTTTTCCACACAGCCCTGACTCTGACACTGAGCAGGGACTGTGGGACTTCAGAAGCCATCTCCATCCTTTCTGTTGGGAACCTTGAATGATGCGTTTAGCCTCCAGGTATTGCTTCCCTTGGTGTGGCCAGCGGACACCCTGAGATTTGGGGACTGCACAAGATGAGCATGATCATCTTCTCACACTCCCACCTCGATTTCACAGAGGAAAAAATGAGCTTGAGGTGTTAAGCAGATGCTGCTGAGGGGGCGCAGGGCATAGAGAAGGCTTGCAGCAGGGTGCAGCCCTGAATGCCACTCTGCCTGAGCTGACATGAGGGACCAGCCAGCCTTGGATGGGACAGTGCTGTGGGACAGCCAGGCCCCAGGGATCCCTGGTGACAGTGTGGACCAGTGCGAGACTCATGTGGGCTTTGTGCTGAGGGTAGGGACATTCCGTGGGGGGCCTGTGCCCCTCTGGGCCTGAGCAGTGACCATCCCCATGCTGCCCTATTTTGCTGGCCATATGATTTCCAAGCTGATTCATGAGTGGCCACAAGCTGGATGCCAGCATCATAGAGCTGTTCCTGCATCTCCACTGGGGACCAGAGCCAGGACCCTGTTTGGAGAGCCAAACCTGTGATGGTTCTGGTCCTTGTATAGATAGTGTGCTGCTCTCCAGCATGCTGTAAATCTATCTACATGGCTTGGATGCTAGCGCTATGCTAGTGCAATGCAAGCACTGCTAGAGTGGCCACACTAGGCAGAGTCTATACAGTTTTTTTTTTTTGGTACCAGGGATTGAACTCAGGTCCTTGTGCTTGAGAGGCAAGTGGTCCTGCCTGTGACCTACCTTTACCATGTTGGAAAGGTATGTCTTCCTCCAGAGTCTCTTGAAAATATGGTGACCTCTGTGGAGAACAATGCATGGGGCCATCATTGGTACAGTCCTCAGGTCCCCATGCTGTGCCCTGGGGGAGGAGGAGGCACACAGGGCTGAGCAGGGAAGCAGGTGCCTGAGCTGTTCCCACCCTCCCCAGTGCCTGAGGCTGAAATATTCCCATGTGCCAGAAGTGGTGTCAGCCCAGCATCTGTCAGGGCTCTTTTTGTACCCTGTTTGTTCACAGGGGGAGAGAAAGAACGGGGGGTCTTGAATTGGAGTGGGTGCTGGGGGCCACAGGAAGGCTAGTGTGGCCTCTGTCCCCTCCACAGACCCCTCCTCATCCCAGCAAGCACAGCCGTACTCTCTCCCTCTCTTTCTGCACTGCCCTCCTGCTGTCTGCTGGGCTGTGGCCCCGCCTGGCCGTGCCCCAAGTTTCCAAGTGGCAGAAACTAGGATCAGGGTGCCATCTGGGGGCTGGGTGGTTGGGGAAGACAAGGCCTGCACAGGAGCCGACAGAGGAGGAGGCAGGACTCCGGTGAGAGGGAGCCACTGTGCTGCCAGGGAAGCATGGGGAGGGAGGGACACCAGAGAGGGCTTCCGGGAAGAACCAGGAAGCAGGAGTGGGCAGGACTGTCTGGTGGCACTTAAAGGGCCCCAGAGCCAAAGCAGCACAGAGAGGCCAGGCTGGCCAGCGGGTACAGCTCAGGCTCATGACTGGAAGGCCCATAGGGCCAGAGGGAGCCCGGCAGCCCAGGGCAGCAGCCCAGGGCTCAACATGTTCTCCCAGATGGGTGGCCTACAAGTGTTTCAGATTTCTGATTTTTTTGGATTGTGGAATATTTGCATAGACAGGATGAGCTCTCTGGGGATGGGGCTCAAGTCTAAACATGAAGTTCATTATGTTTCATAAATACCACACACACGTGGCCTGAAGGTTGGCTTGCACAACACGTCTGGAGCACCTGCGTCTCACTGTGACAACATGTCATCTCAGGCCAGGTGTGCAACTTCCTACCTGTGGCATCGAGTTGGTGCTCGAGGAGCGTCAGATTGGGGAGTGTTTCAGATTTGGGGTTTTCTGACTAGGGTGCTCAACCTGTACTCAGAGACCACACCCTGGCAGCCAGACAGAGGGGACAATCGTTCTCAAGAGTCAGTGGGGACTGTGTGATTCAGGCGAGAGAGTTCCTGGAGGTGAGAGGAAGCTAAGGCTACGGGGTGGTTTGTAAGGAGGAAGCGACCCTTCACACAGAGCAGCAAGAGGCTGGAAGGACTTGTGAGTGGCTCACACTGCTCACAAGTGACCAGGGACTGTGCAGAGGCACAGGTCCCCCTCTGGAATAGCGCAGTTCTCATATTCTCTTCCCCGTGGACTGGCCTTGAGTCCATACGATTGCTCACAGGGGAGCCTCCAGGAAGGCCGTGAAGGTGTCAGCCAAGACCGAGGCCCAGGACTAGGGGAGAGGGAGCCCCAAGCCCTCAGGGGTCCAGGCTGGCTTTGTGTGGGGTGAAATGGCTCCCTGCCCAGCAGGGGACTGGGTCCCCTCAGTGAGAACTTTAACTTGTTCATCTTAATCTTACTGCACTGTTGGTGGGAATGTAAACCACTGCAACCACCATGGAGATCAGTATGGAGATTCCTTAAAAACCGAAAACTAGAAATTCCATTGGACCCAGCTGTTCCCCTTCTAGTTATCTTCCCCAAAGACTCAAAGACATCATATTACAGTGATCCATGCACATCCATGTTCACAGTAGCACAATTCACAATAGTTAAATCTTGGAAGCAGCCTGTGTGTTCATCAAGAGATGAATGGATAAAGAAAATGTGGTATTATGCACAGTAGAATACTACTCTGCCATAAAGAAGAATAAACTTGAAGCATTCATAGGAAAATGGATGCACCTGGAGACTACAATGTTTAGTAAAATAAATCAGACACACAAGCTTACCTATCACATGGTTTCTTTTATATGAGGAGCTCAAAATATAAATAATTTAAAGGGCAAAATAAAAGATAGATAGTAGAAAACAGGGAGATAGATCTTTTGTAAAGAGGAAGAGGAGCAAGACATGAATGGGGATGGGAGGAGGGAAAATGAAAAGATGTGTTGTGTATATGACCAACTCCCCACAATGAAAGTAATCGTTGTGTACTTATAAAAATTAAAAACAAAAAAATTTGTTTTGGGGGTGGTGGGGACTTACCTTTGAGTTTAGAGACCTGTAAGAAGGATGGGAAACCTTCCAATGCGTTAAGAAGCCACCGCTTAAATTTCTTGCTAAATAACCGGACAGATTTCAAGTCTTGGATAGGAACATCATCCAGAAAGTCACACAGGAGAATGTCCTCAAGTCCCTGTGATGGAAGGATCAGGGTGCTGTGACTCAGTGGCTGCTACTTACCAGAGCCACAGCTCTCGAGGGCCACAGGGACAGGACTTGTCACTGAAGGCTGAGGGACTCGAGATAGTGTGGCAGAGTTTGAATTATTTACAAATATTGATGTCTGGTTTTTTGGTTTTGTTTTTGGTACCGGGGATCAAACTCAGGACCTTTCGCTTGTGAGGCAGGTGCAGTGCCACTGAGCTAAATCCCTGGCCCCTGATGTCTGATTTTTTTCTTTGGTGCTAGGAATTGAACTCACATGCTAGGCAGGAGCGCTACCATACAGCCCTAGCCCCTGACTTAAAAATATGCTGCCAAAAGTAGGTGGGTCACACCAAACACATTTAAGGATTGAACAAGCCTCCAGTTTTGCACTTTTCTGTTAAGAATTGAGAAGCACAAGTATTGTTCCCTAATAAATAACAAAAGTTAAGGTTTGTGACTCACAGAAGGAGGGCATATTGTTATGACAAAATGATAAATAACTAACCCACAAATTTACAACCACCACTCGAGTACAGCTCCAAACAAAGCCAAATCAAACTCCTGGCTGTTACTCATACTCCACAGCAACTGTCCTGATGGCTTACTTTTAAATGTTTTCTTTAGTTAAAATGTCCAGGGAAAGAACTTTGGCTCAGTTCCGGGGTCACCGGCACTGGAACCACAGGTCTCCGTGTGCTGTGGTTTTTTCTTTACGTGAGGAAATTAAATCAAGAAAGCCGAGTTTCAGACAGAGATCAAAAGGCTCATGGCCCATCGCCCCAGTAGGTACTCCTCAGAGGACCTAGAGTCCATGAACACTGCAGGGCGAGAGGCGCGCTGGAGTTCTAACTGGGCACTTCCAGGAAGGACACAGGGCAGAGACAGTGTTTCCTACCTTGTACAGCTGTGTATCATAGGACTTCAAGAGCTGGCGCACATCAGGCAGGGCCATGAACATCACTACATCTTGCTGTAGAGACTTCCAGAAAGACATAAGCAAATCTTGCACCTGGTGGAAGGAACAGAACAGACCACTGCGAGCTCATTTTGTGCCTTGGGAGAGTAATCCCCGGTGCAGACTTCATTAGCCCCGAAGGATAATGAGGTGAATCCATTCTGATGAATATAAAGCTTTGTCCGTATGTTTTCCCAGGCTATCTTTTGGGAAAATTGTGTCCATCAGAGTGTACCTGCCTGTTGGACAGGACCTGGAACATAAGTTGCTTGAGGATAGTCTTTAGTTTAAAAGCCACGTCTGACCACCAGGGGGCTCTAGTTGATTATGATAGGATAAGGCCTTGGCCAGAGAAACCAGGTCAAGAGTTGCGAATAAATATTCATTGACTGACTGACCATCTGCCGTAACTATCTTTGAACATGGATTTAGAAGCTTCCCAAGGACTGTGTAAGCACAGAGGGTAACTCTATGTAACTCTACATAGAAGCCATCTCTAAAGGCTTGTGGAGGAACAAAATGGCAGCTTCTTTCCTTTTCTGTTTCCTCCATGTTGCCTTTCCAGAATCTTCTCTGGAGCCAGATGGCCAATCTAGGTTCCCAGCCAGTAAAGACTTCTGACTTGGGGGATTTCCACAGACTAGCTATTCTGAGCCACCGCAAGGACCCACAGTGATGCCAGGCAGGTGCCAGTCCCATGTGTAGGCTATCAAGGAAGTAAGAGTTGGCCTTTGAGTTCATGGTGATAGGTCTATGACTTGGATCCTGTTGTCAGGGGCATCAATTCTAGAGAAGATATCTCCACACAGACTCAGAGATAAATGAAGCACAGGGCACAAGAGCCTCTTTCTCTCAGGTTGGTAACTTTGGGCCCTGGCTCTGTGAGGTCAATGGGTCTAAGCAACGACAGCAACCTCACTATCCACATCCAATGTGGGCAGGTCCTATTGGGCCTACCTTAGAAATATCTCTCTAATCTGCTTCCCTTTCTCCTCTCTGTCACTGCTCCATCCCTTCTCACTTGAATTACAGCAAAACCTCCTGACATGCTGAGACCCATGGCACTGCTTCCCACTGTCTGAATAAATCAGAAGTCCTTGTGGGGTATATGAAACCCTTGCTAGCAGCAGCCTACTTGCCCTCTGTCTCTCTGGCTTCTCACCCTTAAGAGATAGTCAAGGCACATCCTGTCATGTCATTCCCGAGACCATCTAACTGTCTTTGCCCACATCACAGGCTCTACCTGGAAGGCTTTTCCTACCCTATTTCCTATTCATTGAGCCTCTGCCTTTCCTGCTGGGGTTGGCAGCCACAGGACCTGTTTTGGGGGCACTCTCCTGCCTTCTCTGGTGGCCTTCCTGGGCCCCTAAGATGTTCTAATCTACAGCTTGCTGTGGTTTGAACATGGTGTGGCTCCACTGACCTCATACAGAAGTTTAACCCAATTGTGAAGTAGTAAGAGTCAGGCAATGGAATCTGACTGTGGCATTCAGAAGTGGGTCTTTGGGAAGTGTATAGCTTAGATCTTAAATGTCCCCTCAAAGCCTCATGTGTGTGGAAGGTGCCTGGATCATGGGGGTGCTATACTCATCAGTGGATTCATCCATAGATGAGTTCATAGCTGAATGTGCTGTTAGGAGGTAGGAACTTGTTAGAGGGAGTCACTGGGCTGTGACTTAGAAAGGCGAGTTCTTGTCCTTGGCTTCTCTCTTCTCTTTGTTTCCTGACTGCCATGCACACCTATCCCCCATCATGTTCATGCCTTAGAGCTGTCAGACCATGAACCAAAACCTCAGAAACCATGAGTCAAATAAACTTCTCTTCCTTTAAGTTATAGATGTTGGGTAATTTGTTCCAGCAATGAAAAAGTGACTAATCCAGGAAGTGATTAGGATTGGATAAGGTCATCAGGGTAGAGACCCATGATTGAATGCTGATGGCTATATAAGAAAGACACACACACACACACACACACACACACACACACACACACACACACAGAGTTCCTTGTCCCTCCCTTGCTGTGTGATGCTTTATGCCACCTTGGGCTGCTAGCAAGAAGGTCTAAACCAGGTGAGGTCCCTAGACCTTGTACCTTCAGAACTGTGAGCCCAAGTAAACCTTTTTTCTTTATAAAACAGTCTGCTTCTGCTATTTTGTTATAGTAACTGCTATAGTTTGGATCTAGACTGTTCTAAAAGCCCATGTGTTTGCAGGCATGTCTGCTCTTTCTTTCTCTTTTTCTTTCTTTCTTTTTTTCTCTCCTCTCTTGTTTAAAATGTTTGAATTAAAATATTTTCAAAGGACATTTTGTTACTCATATACCTTACTATATTACATATCTTATATGTGGCTTAAGACTATGTGGCTTAAGACAATTCCTTGAGGGAGAAAAGGGAGGCTGCAGTTTGGAAATGGTTGTAAGGCTTGGTCCCAGGCCATTGGTGCTACTGGGAGGCACTGGAACTTTTGAGAGGTGTAGCCTGCTGGGAGTTCCTCCTGTCACTGAGGCTGTGCCCTCAAAGGGGATTGTGTGGTCCTGGTGTCTCCTCATTTTTCTTAGCTTCCTGACCACGAGGAGCAGTAGCCTCCACATGCTTCCTGTTGTGAGCTGCAGCCTCTCCACTAAAGTGACAGAAACCTCCAAAACCCTGAGACACAGCAAGCCTTCCCTCATTTTAAATTGGTTGTCCCAGGTATTTTGTTGCAGCAATAGAAGTGGACCAATAAACAGTTATTCTAGCACATCTCGCATTGTCTCATTTTCTTGCTAATATTGCTCCTTTTATTGCCAGAGTGTACATTCCTCAAGTTTGGCAGAGAATACTTTCTTGGTCCCAGAAATTGTGCTGGTCACAAGGTATGATTTCAGTAAATATTTGATTTTTGGGTGAAAGGAGGGAGGGAGGACTGTGTCAGACCCTGAGCATGGGTGGATGGTTATACTCTGATTATGATATTGCACGGATATTGGGAGTCATTCTGAAGGCACCATCGCCTCTCACTCACTAGAGTCCTTTACATCAAGTTGGTACTAAATGTGGTTTTATTTTTTATTTTTTGATACTGGGGCTCGAACTCGGGTCCTTGTAGTTGTGCAGCAGGTGGCCAAACCACTGAGCTAAATCCCCGGCCCTGAATGTGGTTATTGCTGAGTGACTATTCTCATCCAAAGTTCAAGTGCTTAGAATAATAAAGCACTGGAAATACTTTCATTTGGCTGTGCACTTGTTTCCCTAGATTTTCATCTTATGGCTAACAGATTTATTTATGTTTTCCATAGCTAATTCTACCTTTTTGTTTATTTTTTTTGGTGCTAGGGATTGAACCAGGGTTTTGCCAATGTTAAGCACATGCTAAGCACATGCTCCTTCATGAGCCACATTCTAGCGTTCTACAGTCAGTTCTGGAATAAAATCTGTAATTCCCACTTCATCTGCTTCAAAGTCCTGCTTGTCTTTCCACTGGTGAGTATCAACTCTTTGGCATTACTGAAAATTCCAGGATGACTATTATTACCAGTATTTTATTCAAACTCAGCAGGAATTAGGATCTAAAAGTAAAAAGAAGCTGAATTTGTATGTAAAGCAGAAAGCTATCGGCTACTAGCAGCCTGGAGGCTTCCCAAGGATTAAACCCGATGTCAGTGCCACCTCCCAGAACTCCCTGACTGCCTTCTAAGCACTTTGGTGCCATGCACACCCTACCTCTCCCTGGAGAGGTCCTCTGTAGCGGAGTGGTTGACAGCCAGTCACAGATGCGTGCCCTGTAGAAATAAAAGCCTACCCTCTTGAGTTTGTGGTTCTTCACAGTTTGCAAAATGTCTTGACAGTAGTTGCAGTATTCATCAGCAAGGAAGGCCATCTAGAAAGGAGATGGAAAGTGACAGCAGCTTTCAGGCCACTTCAAGAACGGATGGGTCCTCTGAGACCCAGCTGCAGCTCCCAGGGGCTGCACTTGGGTGATTGACAGGACAGCAGCGGGGCCACTGGGTGTTTCTTTTCCCCAAGCAATGTGAACCTTACTGACTTAGGGTTCAGGTTGTTTGCATTTTGATGTTGGAACTCATATATTTCCAGGGGTGCTTCACCACTAGAAAGACCATCTACTTGGTCCTTAAATCCCAGCCCCCCATATTTCCCAGCCCCAGTTTCTAGAAAATCTGTCTCTCTGTCCCCTGCTTTGTCACAGGGAGGGCCTCATTGTAGAAAGGAGGGACCCTGCAGTCCCAGGTGGGCCTTCACACTGAATGTCCTGGCACACCTCGCTGGGGAAGTGGGGCATGTTGGTTGGTGCTCATAGGTCTGTGAGGAGGTAAATATAACTCAGGTGGCACAATCATGACCACAGGCAAATGAGACATTTCCTGCCCTAAGTATCACATGGCATGAAAAAGTAGTTTCCCCCATGAGACAAACCTGCCTCTGTGTGTGTGTGTGTGTGTGTGTGTGTGTGTGTGTGGTATTGGGAATTAAACTCAGGCCCTCCTGCAAACTAGGCAAGCACCCTACCACTGAGCTGTACTCCAGCCCTTTTCAATTTTATTTGGAGACAGATTCTTGCTAAGTAGCCCTGGCTGGCCTCAAACTTGTGATCCTTCTGCCTCAGCCTCCTGAGTAGTTTGGATTGCAGGTGTGTACCACCACATCTGGCAAAACCTACCATTGTATAGGAGTATTTCTTTGCCAGTTCTTGCTCACAAAGTGGACATCTTCTGATTTCAGATAAGGGAGGGCCAACTGGACTTGTCTTTAGTGGTGAATTATTTTCACACTAGAAAAAATTTATACAGTGGAACATTTCTTTAAAATAAAATGCATTTTCTGGTATATAAACCATGTCATAATCACATTGCTGTTCTAATTTAATGTCTCTATGCATACTCCTAGACTATTATTGATGCTAGCAACTTTTTCCTCCTATTTCATTCCAAATGGCGTTAACCTTTTTCTATAATTTTATGAACTCTGGCCACCAGGGAGAGGCTCGGATATAATGCGTGATCCAAACTGATTACTCTTAGGGTCATCTGCTGGGGTCATTATGAATCACCATATCCAATAAAAACATGATCGATGAGTAATTTGATGTCACAAACACATTCCTACAACCTTTGTGCATATAACTGTTGCTTCTGGAAATAAAACTGCATCCTGGCTGGATCATCAGGCCTGGTTCATAAAAAATGGTCTGTTGTATCAAAAAATCTCAGGGATGGAGCCAACGAGAGATTTCTGTAAAATAGCAAACTACAGACTGCTAAGGAAGAAAAAAGGTGACAGGGCAGAAGGGACATTCCTCATTCATCCTGGTGTCACTGCTGTCCCAGAGCAAGGGGACTCATGACTGCCCCAGTGTGAAGGATTTTGATTTTATTTGAAATGATTTCTTCAGGATTCTCCTGGCCTTCTTTTTTTGTTTGTCTGTTTTTGTGACAGTGTCTCACTGTGTAGTCCCAGGCTGGGTTTGAACTCACTATGTAGCCCAGGCTGGCCTGGAACTCCTAGCAATCCTCCTGCCTCAGCCTCCTGGTTGCTGGGATTATGGGTGTGTGCCACCAGGCTGGCTCTCTCCTGGGTTTCTGAATGACTTCTCTATGACTAAAATAGGATGAAATAATAAATTTCAAATTGGACATTGAGCTGCAACACCTGGTATGGGGACAGGTCATCATCTGCTTTGGAAGGCTGGCTCTGACTCTGCATTTCTTTGGAAGGCTGGCATTTCTCTGGCATCAGGTGGGTGGTGCCGGGGTGGGTCACCAGGAAGGATGGGTTATCTCTAGAGTGCACCGGCCTGGCCTCAGCCCTTCTGATAGAGGAGACCAAAGGAGCCCTCCATTCCAACTCTGTGCTGGCTTCTCATCTCTGCAAACCCCACTGCACCCACTGTGTGCAAACATCCACCCTAGAGAGGACCAAGAATGCAGACTTCACCAGCTTCCCAAGTGGGCACGCTCAAGCAGAGAGCTGCAGCCCCGGGCAGACTGTACTTTGTCCCAGTTTATGGAAATCCCTCCCTTGCAACATGACAAGTACATCCATGTTTCACCTCTTCAGAAGTCTTCTGGCAGAGCAGGATTGGGATGTTCAAGAAATGAGCACAAGGAACATATAAAAGAAAACATCATAAAAAGCCAATTCCCTCTTGTGTCTCTTCTTCCATAGAACTTACAGGCATATGCCTTTCATTACACACTGAAAGGAACTGGTCTTTCAAAAACTAATTCTATGTTAATTTTGACTTTAATTTTAATTTTTTGGTGCTGGGGAATGAACCCAGGCCTTGCACCTGCTAAGATGCACTCTACCACTGAGCTACCTCAAGTCCCAGAAAAGGAAAATTAGATGCCACATATTGAAATATTTTCTTCACAAATCTAAAGTAAAAGGTGGCACAGTGCTGCTAAAGTTTGTGTTTGTGCAGGAGGTTCTTGGCAGCAACTGCAGGGATTCTGGGGCTGTAGAAACAATTTAGCAAAGTGGTAGAGAAGAAAGAGAGAAATTCAATTTAGATTCTCCAGGTATGCATTTACATGCGGTTTGGGATTTTCAACAGACCCAAAGATGTCATTGGAATTTTTATCGTATGCTTATTCAGTCTTCAGTGAGCATGCATGTTAGTGTGGATGTTAAATGGCCCCCAGAGGCCTGTGTGTTAAAAGCTGGGAGCCAACTTGTGGTGCTATTGGGAGGATGCAGAACTCTAAGAGGCGGGGTCTAGTGGGAGGTCTTCAGGTCTTTGGGGGTGTGTCCTCAAAGGGGATTGGTGGACCCTGGTTTCTTTCTCTTCCTTTTGTCATATCCCATCCATGTGGAGAAGAGCTTTGCTCTGCCACACACTGTCTAGCATGATGTGCAAGCCCAAAAGCAATAGGCCAACTGATCATAGACTGAAACTTCCAAACAGTAAACGAATATAATCCCCTTTTCCTCCTCTTCCTCCTCCTCCTTTTTCTTCCTCTTCCTCCTCCTCTCTTTCTTTCTCTACCTCTTTCTCTTCCTCTCCTTCTCCTTCCTCTTCCTCTTCTTCTTATTCCATTTTTCCTTTGTTACTGGAATTTAAACCCAAGGCTTTCTCACTGAGCTACGTCTCCAGTCCTTTTATTAATTTTTAAAAAAATTGAAATAGGGTTCTCACTAAGTTGCCCAGGCTGGGCTCAAACTTGCAATCCTCCTGCCTCAGTCTGAATGTTGGCATTATAGGAATGCACCACCATACTCATCAATCTTCCTCTTGTCTGTGGTATTCTGTTACAATACCAGAAAGCTGACTAGTGCAACACATTATGTAACAGCCCCTAAGGATACAATAGAGGGCACCATCTCTACCTCTCCTGGTTACTCCATCAATTCTCCTGGGTGTATCAGTGCTTCCTGCATCCTTAAACACACTGTTCCCAGAATTATCACCTCCAAAGCCAATGTATTCTGTGTTCTCTTTCTGAATATACCTAGATGGTGTCCTACAGTGTCTTGAGTCAAATCCAAATACCTCCCCCGACCATCAATAACCCCCATCATCTGGACCTCTTACCTCCCTCCCACAAAGTCTGTTGCTCCCCAACATCCTCACACCCTGGAAATCCAGTTAAAAGGCTACACAGCATGTTCCTTGAGGACAGGGACCACACCTGTCCCCAAACAGTGTTTGCTGCCCAGAGAACACCAACAATCAAGGTCAAATGGGTGACTGGTTAAGGGCCACTCAGAATGAGAGCATCACACCCAAAACAATAGTTCCATCTAACTAATTACTGAGCATTGCCGTTCTATTATACCTATTTTATTCAACACTCACAGTTCTTTCTTGTTGGATGATGTTGTTATAATCAATAGATTTTTCAAAGGCAACGTGTCCACTGTGGAGGGACAGGGAACAGAGAAGTAATTTTAGTAAGACACCTGTTTCTGGGCACAGGAATGAAATTTCTTTTGCAGTGAAGTTATTGGTTTGAGGTATCAGTTTTATTGCAAAATCCTCCTTCACATTTCTATCCACAAATGGAGATGATTGCATGTTTGGAGTTTAAAAAAATCCACTTCTGTAACTGGGACAACCCTGTATTTATTTTTAAAGGTTATTCCCTTCAGAAGCATAGATATGATATCATCCGGGGCATAATTTGCTCCTGTGGGAAAAGAAAAATCATCAGGGAAATGAAATCTTATTACTTTCTGATCTCAGCACTTTTAAAATGATCAATCCAGAAGTGATAATGCCCTCTGGGTCAATGGTTGTAGCTGAGCACCTTCTCAGAACAAAGAAATTGGTGATTAATGGTGGGTCTGCAAGTGTCACTTCACAGGCCCTTGGATTTGTGTATTATGAAGGAGACATCTGAACATAATGGGGAACATTCAGTAGGACGTTCAGTCCTATTCATGTGCGTGGCACGATTTCCCTGTAATGCTGGGTATTTGAGAAACAGAGAGCCTTGGAACGTCCCCCTGCACCAGGAATGTGTCTCCTCTGATGCCAAGGCTGTGGGGGATCTCCTACCCAGCTTTCCCAGGGAGCCCCAGAGGTGTGGTTGAGCTGAGGCAGGTGTGACTCTTCTGTCCAAGCCAGGGTGACACATGCCTTCGCGTTTGATGGTGTCAGAAAGGATGGTGTTGCTCAGCTTCCAGAAGCAGGCACCATTGTCAAGGGGAGGGCATGGGAGGGATACGAGAGAGCAGGGCAGGGAGGAAAGCGGCTTTTGTCTGGCATAGGAAGATCTGACACCCCACGCAGCCCCTCCAAAGCCATGCAGCTCTCCTCTGAATGCTTGTGTCCATCTGTCCATCTCTGACCCACGTCATGGAAACCTGGGCAGAATATTTGCTACCCACGTGATCAATGTTTTCACCTGACACTCTATTTCAAAACAAGACACATAGATTCAGAGCCTGTATACAAACACATGAGGGAGACAACCTTCATCTTTTTTTTTTTCCAGTACTGGGGATCGAACTCAGGACCTTGGAGCACTTGCAAGGCAGGCGAGGCACCACTGAGCTAAATCCCCGGCCCTCCTTCATCTTTTATTGAGAGTTGTCATCAAAAGAGATTGGACTTCAGATCCCTGAAACCTGGAAGGATGCATGCATAAACCCTGCCTGAAGGAGGACAGGCAGTGTTAGAAGGTGAAGCATTTGAATAGGTTCCTTCAAGGCCAGGGCAGTGCTTCAGCTGCAGCAGGAGTCGCAGTAGTTGATGGAAGAGCTGTTCAGCAGTGGGTGGAGTCAGAAGGCCTTTTACAAGTTGGGGGCCTGGCTTGGTGGCAGTGGCCAAACTCCTGAGTGAGAAGGACCAGGAGCTGCAGGAGACCTGGTGCTTACTGCACGATGAGAAAGAAGATTTAAGGAAATTTGTGGAGAATGAAATAACTTTCTGTCAAAAAGAATTAACCAAGTTAAAAGTGCTAGATTATCTACTTTTGGGTCCCTCAGAAGAAAGAGATGAAAATGCTTTGATTCTGGAGGTGGCCTTAGACGTGCTTCTGGCAGCACTGGGAGTTCAGGAGCCTAGAAACAGACCGGAGATTTAGCTCAGTGGCACAGTGCCTGCCTCACAGGTGCAAGGACCTGAGTTCTGTCCCTGGTACCAAAAACAAAAAGAAGAAGCCTATAAACAGGGAAATTTGAAGAAGCACCACATAGAGTACAAAGAGCGCCAAAGAAAGAGAAGCAAGACCAATCCACTGTAGCACAGTGACAGTGGCAATGTTACCCCAGCCTGCTGAGATCAATCTGGTGATTAATCTGAAAGATTTGAGAAGTGATATGAAG